AAAAAAATAAAAAAATAAAAAAAGTTCTCTTCCATGGGGTTAAATACAAATGTGTCCCAAATATGGCTACTGTGACCAAGCCAGTCACTATGAATCAAATGGTTTGGATTTTCACTAAATAACTGGCCTCTTGTGATAAGACTTGTCTCAATTAACACAAGTAAGCCAATAATTTGCACTACGCTTCCCCTCCCCCCTTTTGTCTTTTTGAGGCAGGGTCTTGCTATGCAGTGCAGTACAGGCTGGCCTTGAACTCAACTTTGTAGCCCACGCTTGCCTCAAATTCCAAACAATCCTCCTGGCGCAGCCTGCCCAGTGCTCGGATTACAAATGTACACCCCACCATGCTTCTTAAAGTTAGAGATTTGTTTCAGCTCATGCTCTACAACATCTTAGGTGCCTATGCTCAAGATAGGTTACCATCCTAATATGTATAAATATTTAATTAAACCCTCAGAGAAATTCAAAGTAAGTTCCCTGAGAAAACCAAGGTGAGACAGCTGAGAATTACAGCTCCATGATTCTCACTGCCTGATACTGCTCTCCTGGCTGTTCCCTCACCCCTGCACTACCCTCTCCACTTGTCTTTCCAATCCTTAAGGGTCAACTCTGTAATATAAAGAATCTGTGTCCTAGCTTGGAACTCTCCTTATTAAGGGCTAACATACTTGGTTAATATCTGTTTAATCACACCATGTCATCATATCCCTGGACCTCAGAGAACAAATCTACCCTAGAATCATGACAACACTCCAGGTACTGACTCTTTCAGTAGTAGTTACATAACAGTAATTGTTTTAGGGGCGGGGAAATCTTAAGTCATTTGCTGAAACTAGTTGCGTTTTGTACAGACCCAATCCAACCAAATACTAACAAAAAAGAACCTAAATTCTTGCTATCAGCCACAATAGCTCTCAAATCTAAGGACTCACTGGGTAATTCAATATGTCCCAGTCTCAAAAAATAATAAAGGGCTGGAGACGTAACTCAGTAAAAAAGCCATGGGTTTAAATCCCCAGTGCCTTTACAGACTGCAAGGACTCCGCTTTCTGAAATCATAGGTAAGATTTTTTTGCAAACAGGTTTTTAGTAACAACTATTTTCAGATTTTGTTTTTTGTTTTGTTTTGAAAGGACTACTCACTGTGTAGTCCTGGCTAGCCTGGAATTTGTGATCCTCCTGGCTCAGCCTCCCAAGTCCCAGATTACTAGCATGTGCCACCACATTCAGCTCAGTTTTCACCTTCTGACGAAGGTTAAGATCAACACTCTA